TATGTATGTATGTATGTATGCAGGCATGTGCATGTGCATGTGCATGTGCATGTGCATGTGTATGTGTATGTGTATGTATGTATGTATGTATGTACGTATGTATGCAGTTATGCGTGCATGCATGGATGTATGCATGCATGCATGGATGCATGCATGCATGCATGGATGGATGCATGCATGGATGGATGTATGCATGCATGTATGTATGTACGTATGTGTATGTGTGTGAGTGTATGTGTATGTATGTGAGTGTATGTGTATGTATGTGTATGTATGTATATATGTAAATATGTATGTATGTATGTATGTACGTATGTATGCAGTTATGCATGCAGTTATGCATGCATGCATGGATGGATGGATGGATGCATGCATGGATGGATGTATGCATGCATGCATGCATGCATGCATGCATGTATGTATGTATGTATGTATGTACGTATGTGTATGTATGTGAGTGTATGCGTATGTATGTGTATGTATGCATATATGTAAATATGTATGTATGTATGTATGTATGTACGTATGTATGCAGTTATGCATGCATGCATGGATGGATGCATGCATGGATGGATGCATGGATGGATGTATGCATGCATGCATGCATGCATGTATGTATGTATGTATGTATGTACGTATGTGTATGTATGTGAGTGTATGTGTATGTATGTGTATGTATGCATATATGTATCCGCACGTCTGTGTGCAGGCATGCATACGCTCTGGGTCATGTGTTCTGCTTTGTAGATGAAAGATTTCAGGTGAGATGTACGATGCGCCACAACCGCGAGCAGGGGAGCGATTTGAACTCTTCCTTCGGCAGGTACGGATCGGGGGTTTGAGGGTTTAGGGTTTCAGCGGTTTTGTTTCTGCGTAGTTTGGCCCACAGGGCTCCGTCACTTTTGCCAAAGGGTTAGTGCCCTAGTCATGTGGTCTTCAGGTTCTTGGGTCCTCTTGTTCTGGCCTCCGGTTCTTATGGTCCTGCTGGTCCTGCTCGTCCTCCGGTCCTCCTGTTCCTCGTTTCACGGGTCCGCAAGACCTTTATGGGCAGATGTGTCTGGCGGTGAGGCCCCACCACCCCCCTGCGACTGCTCCTCGCTTACGCTTTGTACCATCATTGCTTCACAGACACAAAGCGATTCCCTGCAAATTGTGGTTCTCAAATACCTTGAGGCAAAGGGGAGCCCTGCTAAGTGTAACTCCCCAATAAACATGAGGCAAGCCCGCACCCGGTAATCGGAATTCCCGAATACGTAGATGCAAAACGAAGCCTTGCAAATAATTAGAGCCCCTGCATACCGACGAAGTCTGCGCATCCCGCCTGTAGGTGGCAACAAGGCTGAGCGTCGTGCCAGTCGTTCTTGCAATGCACGCAAGGACCCGGTGCCGAAAGCTGTCTTGTGCGTTGCATTCCTGGTGTAGTCTTGTTCTTAGAGTGTCTCCTGGTAAGATCTGGTGAGGTTTCACATCATCTCTATCTGCAACAGCGAGTCAACTTGTGACATTTTCTTGGAGCTTTGAGTTTCCATAGAAGTATGCTATGTGCGTGAGGAAAGACTCGATGTCAAGCTTCCGAGATGCTTCCTCGACTGCATGATGACGAGGGCTTTGTGCATTTGTTTTGTATTGCTGCGTGAAGTGGAGGAGAAGTAGAACAAGTAGTTGCAGGTCAAAACAAACACAGCAACAGCGATAATCACGAGATTTTCTTGTGAAGTATGCAGCATGATGAACAAGATGTTGCACATCCTGGAATCTGAACAGTTACCCGACTTTCTCCCATTTTCATTGCACCACCTTTACCCACACCACCTTCATCACCTGCTCTACCGCCGTCAGCACCATAACCACAATCGCCCGCATCACCAAGTTTCAGCTGCCACTGCGACCGTCAAGGCGAGTACCACCAACGCCTTACCATCATCATCGTCGCTATCAGAGTGCTCATCGCCGCCATTATGTGCATCATGCTTACCTAGGGCTGCTTATCCTATCGTCAGGATAAGTGTGGAAGGGTCAGACTTCCGGCTGTCTCTAAGCAACTGGCAGAAGAACTAATTCGAATGGGCTTGGATCCAGTGTTGTGCCGCCGTCAAAGCGGAACTGCCGCACAAGGTGTATGCAATCATCCATCACGTGCAGGCACAGCTGGCTCAGTCTTTCTTCGGCTGCAGGGTGAAACTCAGGGGTTTAGAGTGAGAGGGGACGGGTATCAGAAGAGGCAGCTTCCTGGAGCTTCGCAACACTCTTCATTTTAGCTCTTTGTGGCAACATCCACTGCCAGGAGGAAAGCATCAAGAAAGGTTCTGACAGCATCGTGCAGCTCTTCGAGGCCCCTTCCGCGAGCACTTGTTGTGGCCTTCCCATGTGCTCAGATGGCATTCCGTGAGTTTCGGTATTGCGCTGCATTCTGAAGGGTGCCGGTGAGAAATGATGTGGTAGCCACAAGAAGATTTCCCTGACCAATGAACAACAGATGCTTGGAAACAGTCTTGCAAATGGAACAGGCAAGGCTTGAATACCTCAGTTCGGGGGCACTCCCTTCTGTGGGACCCTTGCAGGGCTTTCTGCACAAAGGAAACCAGCAGGAATAAGAGACTTTCTGTTTGCATGTGTGCGCTGATAGGCTTTATTGTAAGCAGCCATGGGTGTCGAGTTGTCCTGATAGACACAGAGATGTGCATTGAAGGGCGCGGAAGCAGGAAGTGGGCCTGCTACGAGACAGAACTGCGACGCTACAGCTCACCAAGGGTAGGTAGGGCAAGTCTAGCGAGTAGGCGAGTAGGTGTCATTTGTGGTACCGGAAGCCATCATCCATAGAATCCATGGCTAGCTCATCGCAAACCTTCAGCTGGTGTCCAGATTGGGGGTAGGTCTGAATGCGCTGTTGCATCATGTGTTGTTCATCGAAGAAGCGCTGTGACCAACTGTCGCATTGAGTCTCTTTCCAACCAGGTTCCAGATGAAAAGGCCGACTCCGACAGGGGGCGCAAGAAGAAAAACAAAAGTGGTGGGGGCCTGACTTGTCAACCAGAGAGAAACGGAGTCTATTTCTGTTCCCAGGCAATCCTCCAACAAGTACCGTCAAACCCGAAATGTCAGTTCACAGTTTCAGTGACGCGACTCTCCCCTCATTTTGCTTCCAGGGCTCGTCAACCTCTTGCCCAAGTCCTTCATCCTAAACCAAGAGTGACTATGATGTAGTCATCCGAAGGAACTCAAGTTACAGCTAGTTCCATTGGTCATACAGTCATGCCATTTTAACAAGTATATTGAGACCGGTATCTAGTAGCGATACGAAAACCATACCAGGTTGGCGTCAGTGGTCGAAATTGGGGTCTTACCACATCCATGGGGTTCTGCTCCCTGATCTCTGAACTCCCTGAACCGGCCTTTGGCTTTGGGCTTCCGGCTGCTGAGTTCGGATTACGAGTCGGACCTTTGAACAATGCTGGGCTTGGTGTGGGAGCAGTGGAAAAATGAAGCACGGGTACTGCCGCAGCAACCGCGACGATGATGGTGGTGATGGGACGAAGGTAGCTCTTGAAAGATGATGACGTTGACAATGATGACCAGCAAGCCGGCAAGCATTTTGTGATAGCCATAGCACTCGTTTCCTGCCCAGTGCGGATCGAAACCACTGTCACTGAGGTCATCACTACTTCAACTACACTTTGCTAGACGACACCAGCGACGACTTTTTCTGGTCGAAGCTTCAAGGCTTCCTTCAAGTTGCCGCTACTCGGCTAGCATTGACATGCCAAGGCAGGCGGACAAAGTACAGCGAACAAGTCACTGAAACAACAACAACAACAACTACTA